TGCGTTGCCAATTGGATTGGGTATGCGGGATCTTTTGCCAAAGGAGATGTCCAATGGCGGGTTCCTCTGGGTTGCCAAATCCCACCTGCTCTGCTTCTCGGAGTTCTTACCCTGTTCTTGCCCTACTCTCCTCGTTGGCGTAAGTAACTTCCTCTTTTAATATTGAAAAGAAACGCATTTATTAATCAAAATATATAGTGGCCATGAAGGAGCGACACGAGGAGGCCAAGAAGGTAATGTACTACCTGCAGGCCCATCGCGGCGAGGAAGCGATCGAAAGAGAGTTCTCAGAGATGTGTCAACAAATTCAACTCGAGGCCCAACGCAAGAAGGCGGCCACCTTTACCACCCTTTTCACACGAAAGTATATCCGCCGCACGCTTCTGGTTTGCTTAACGGTCCAAATGATGAAGCTCTCCGGTTCCAACATTATCCAAACCTACCAGTCGATCATGTACGAACAGCTCGGCTACAAGGGCCAAACTGTCCTTCTTCTCGGTGGCTTCTACGGATTTATGGCTGTTATTGGTCAAATTCTCAACGTGTTCCTCGTTGCTGATCGTTGGACTCGGCGCGGGACAGTCATTCCGGGTTCAATGGTTCTGGCCACCTTCCTCGCGGTTTTGACGGGACTTTCTGCGAGCACAACCGACAGTGCACCAGGCATCTCCAGGGCCGGAATCGCATTTGTCTTCCTGTTTGCCTTTGGATACTCATTCTACTTCAACAGTGTCAACTGGGTGCTGGTTGCTGAGATCTTCCCGCTCGATCTCCGCGGTGTGGGTGTCGGCTTCTCCATCTTCACCCAATCCATCACCGCAATCTGGCTCAACTATGCCGCTTCCTACGCCTTTGATGCCATCTCTTGGAAGTTTTACTTCGTCTTCATCGCTTGCAACTTGTTTGCCGGTACCATGTACTACTTCTTCCTCCCCGAGACCCGCTTCCTGTCTCTTGAGGAGATTGCCGCTAAATTCGGAGACGAGGTTGCCCCAGTGATTGAGAAGCACCTGGAAATGGATGACGCCAAAGCCGAGTCCAGAGAGATTGCGGAAGCCGAGGTTGACAAGAGTGGAACTTCCTCCAACCACGTGGAAGTTTCAAAGCCATAGGTATCTTAGGGAATAATGGACAATGATGCAAGACGGGATATGGCGGTTTACGGGGCAATTGAGAATCTAATCTCAAGAATATGTATCAAAATTTGCACCAGCAATCAAACTCCTCAGTTTAACTGATCCAATTTATCGACCCATTCTGTAATAATCGTGTAGAACACTATCCAGTGCGTTGTGATATTTAGGTTCTTGACTACCTACAACAAGGTGGCGTCGTATCCAACTTCAGGGAAAGGTTTGAGCTCATCGGATGCTCGTTTGGCTGTGCAGGGATCGGCTGGGGAGTTTCTCCACTTTCGCATCACCCGAGTTGGCCAGGTCCAGGAGTCTCGGAGTAAACCAGCAGCTCTTCATTGAAGTTGAACAATGAATACGTTTTTCAAGACATCAAATGATCCAGGCTGTCGGATCCCAACCCATACTGGTCGGCAAGATATTGAAGCATCAATGCGCCCTTGGCTCGGCCACTTAGCAATTAGCCAAGCCAAATGAGATTTATAAGGGTATTGCAAAGCTGGACTACGTGCTCAAGGGGGGACGATAAAACCAAGTAGAGATTGAAATTACGTAGCTTAATGCTTGTTTTGACGCGTCAAGGCTGAATAGTTTAAGAGCAAAAATGTTATACCTGTCTATGTAAAGTCCCAAGGAATGCTTCAAGAACAAATTATTTAGGGGTATTGGTCAAGGGCAGCTCCTATTGCGTCTACACAGCCGGCATAGTTACTGTTGTCAAACAACTCTTTGAACTGCGATGGATTTCCGGGCTACCACGCATGTCAGCTTATAAATAGAACAAGGGTAATGGAAGAAAAAGAAGTAAAGAACCACACGAAAAGGGGGAAATACTCACGTTGAAGTATGAGATCTGAAATTGGTGGATGTAGGCTTCTAGCCCATTGCTACCGCAGACATCATCAAAGTTGCTCCAATCATAGTTAGAGTCGCCAGCATCGGCGCATCCTTCCCCTCCATACGTGTTGCTAGAGGCAACCTGCTTTGTGTAGTCAATCCACGTCTGGCGGTCATCTGATGGAAAAGTGCCACCATCGTTTCCATTCGGCCCACCATTGAAGATGCAGTCGTTATGAATCGTGACACTGCGATCACCGTTGTACAATGCCTTGTGATCTTGCGGGTAGCGTATGGCAACCTTCGCGCCGGTACCAAGGAGCGCATCAACAACTGACTTCTTCACCTGCAGACTGGCCTCACTGTCATCGCTACCACGGTTCTGGCAAAACGGCCCATCCTACACTCAAGCGTCAGAGATCTTGAAAATGGGAACGCCAGGGAATGCTCAACGCGAGGATTTTACATACATGCCATTCGCCCCAAGTACCAAGAAAGCCTGCCTGAATTACTGGTATATTAATCAAGCCGGAGACATCTAAGAAGACTTTCGCCCATGTGGATACATCCGCAAGAAGCTGATCTTTGTCGTCTGGTTCGGAGGTCACGGAACCATCATTGGTTCCGTACCGTACACGAGGGATGACCGATATGCCCTGGGAGCCATAATTCTGCACCAAAGTCTTGAAATCGCTAATCAGAGATTGGTGGTCGCGTCCAGAAATGATCTGGATATACAAGAAGAGTGTATCTGATCGGTCAAGTGCATAGTAGGTGATGGCGTCGGAGTTATCCTTGCCCTCTACAATTTCTTTGTAGGTACTGAATCCGGCATTTGCGAGGCTTAACACCGTGGCAAGGACGAAAGGTGTAGCAAAGCGCATTTTCGGATTGATCGGTTGAACGGGCGAATGTCTATCAAGTGCTGGTTCTAGCACTGCGCAATTCAAAGAAACCCTTCACTGATAAAAGGAGAAATAGGCTTTTGATAAAAGACTGCCCATGCCCAGACGGATTCGGGGGCTTCGTGTGTCCAGAAACGCTCATTGTTTCAAACATGAATCTCAAATTAAGGACCGTAAGACATTAATGGAGCCCAGCGGCAGTTGGCAGAATCCTACAGGATTGGTACCTCATACGCCGCTGTGGCACAGTTAATTAATTACGCGGTACTGCTTGCGACAGCGACCTATGGGTTTCAGCATAAGAGAAATGCGGCAATGGGCTGATTGATGATATTTTTGGACGATTCCCATCAAGGGTCTCATCATCATCGCTAAGTTAGTAACCATCATCGCTCAAAATGGGAAGCTTACATGAGTTAAAACCTGAGCACTGCTACTCAGAACGACAATAAGCGTGCCTCCAGAGTAAATAGCCTACATCTTCGGGCATTGTTCACATCAAAAGTATCATTTGAATATAGCGTGGGGAAGTAGGCCACTTATCAGCGTTGGCGAAATTCATTCTTCCTGGAGATTCCTCGCACGTTTTCTCTACAAGTATCCTCGTATGTAACTACAGGGTTGAGGCGTAGGTTTTATAATCCCTCCAATGTTAATTATTCATCATCGTTCAGTCTTTCTTGTGGTTATCGAAAAGATTTGAGGAAGACTGATAGCCCTGCCTCAAACCTTTCTTCTCCGATCTCTACCCATTGCGTATCGGGGCCTAACCCTTGAACGCCTCAAATGTCATTGCTGCCTTATATCCTGCTGATTTTTGTGTTAAAACATAGCATTTGGCCGGTTACTAATAATAATGCAAGCCGCCGACTCTGATCTCGGTGACTTACCAAAAGCCGCCGGCGAAAATTATTCTTGCCGGTCCATTGTGGGTCTTGCCCGTTTTGCCAACAACCGCTGGCCGGTGGTTTAAGATTGCTCAAAGGCCTTGTTAGAATCATGGAATTGTTGAAAAGAATTGATCCCAAAACACATCTCATCGTCGCTGGGACTCGGAAATTCTTCGTCTGAGCCCTCCAGCCAATCCATATGACGGCATCAATGAACTCTAGGCCACTCATTTGGGAATGCACCAATCTCGCAGTTGCTGGCGTAAATGTGACGATATCAAGTGTCCGGCGAGAGGGGCCATCGTACCCTATTCTGATCCTTCATGGCTTTGGGAGTACAAAGGAAGACTTTGTCGATATCGCATTGGCCAAAGCCTTTTCCGGTGCTTCTTTTGTCATCTACGATACCCCAGGGAGTGGGCAGTCTACGAGCGAGAAACTCGATCAACTGTCTATTCCATTCCTCGTGGAATTGGCGGAGGAGTTCCTGAAAAGCCAGAGAATAAGGAAATTCCACCTTATCGGCCATTCGATGGGTGGGCTGACGGCATTGAAGCTGGCCCAAAGGCACCCAGATGCAGTGCTAAGTTTTGTCAACATGAAAGGCAATCTAGCGCCAGAAGACTGCTTCCTTAGTCGCCAAGTGCTCGATCATCCTTCCGACAACCCAGAGATCTTTTTCCGTCAGTTTGTGGAGCGTACACGAAAGTCGCAAGAATTCGGAACCGCCATTTATGCCGCCGCGTTACAAGCCAAAGTGAAACCTGAGGTTGTACGACCAACATTCGAATCAATGGTTCACTTGTCAGACACCGAAGACCTATTGGATATCTTCATATCCTTACCCTGCTCCAAAATGTTCATGTATGGAGAGCAGTACAACACCTTGTCTTACCTGAGCCGACTCTCTAGAGCTGGGGTTGAGTTGGCGGAGATCCCTAATTCCGCACACTTTATCATGTATTCAAACCCGGTAGAAATGTGGCGAAGGATTGCATTGTTCCACGCAAAGGGGTTATTAGAAGGCCATAGTAACCAGATATAGCTGTCTCCCTGGAATCTAGTGCGATGATCAGTTATTTCCTAGAATGAACTGGTGAAGTGAAGTGTTAGCCTTTTTGGCTTATGTCATTCCAATAGGCTAATAAAATTCGTCGGCGTCTTGTCTTTGTGATGCCCCGCCGCATCTTCCTCATCACCTCATTCTTCATTTTCTCATCTCGGGCATCTGCATCATGCCGCCGTCCCCCAGTCGCAGCGGGAAGCAGCCCATCCCGGCTCCGAAGCTTCCTCAAAAGAAGACTATCGCGTAAGGCGATTTTAATATGTGCATAAAATCATTGGATGAGGAGCTGACTTATTTAGTTGTCGACCATGCCACGCACGCAAGATTCGGTGTTCTGGCAACAAGCCGTGCAACAACTGCGCTCGTGTATCTGACTGCATCTACCCAACGCGAGACCGCCAAGTCCGAGTACACCAGAGGTACGTAAACAAGTGCCCATCAGTCTCTGCCACTCGATGTTGATGAAGGCTAGCTTCCTTGACCGTCTCCTGCAGGAGAATGCCGACTTGCGCGCCCTTCAGCGTCAGCCCGAGCAATCCCAAAGGAAAACCGAACAAGACACCTGGAATATTCCCGCAATATCGCAAGGTGACCAAGAATCTGCCGAGAACCAGTCTATACAGGGAAGCGACTGGTTCACCCACATCAGGACATCCGATACCCCCATCTGGATAGGTGAGATATCGGACAGTGCCTTTGCAACTCGCTTCCGCCAGTTTGCTTCTTTCTCTCAAACACCATGTCATATTCCTCGTACTCAGTTCGTTTCCGACGAGGCTTTGCACAGTCTCGCAACGACGTTTCCCCCCCCTACCTGGCCATCGCTGTCGCGTGCTAGACTTCTAGTCGAAACAGCGCTCCGGTTTTTGCGACACAGCTATCACATAGTCCGGCGCAGTGAAGTCTTCTCAACTTTGCGAGCAGCTGATTTCAATCAAATCAGTTTACATTCCAAGGCCAAGTTGTGGGCATTGTTTGCTATCGGTGAACTACGCTCGAGTAAATGCCTTACAGCGACCGGTCATCTCCCTGGATTAGCCTACTTCGCAATGGCTGGTGATGCTATCCGCATGATCAACGAGAGGCCCCAGATTGACGTGATCGAGACAGTTCTTCTTCTAGTAAGTTACGTATCCCTCAGACTTGGTCGTTTTGTGCTTTTACTAAGAGCGCGTTGGCTTTGTACTCTCTTGAGACGAACCGCCGGCATTCTGCATGCACTTTTGTAGGCACTGCTTTGCGCCTCGCCACTATTATGGGATTACATATCAAAATAGGGTCTGCTTTCATTCCAGAACCTGAAATAAGAGAGCATCGAATTCGCCTTTGGTGGTCGGTCTATATTATCGATAGATTTCTATCGTCAAAAATTGGTCTTCCACTCTTAATATCAGACGCTGATATTTCTATTGATCTGCCATCAAATAATTCGACTCTTAACGTGGAGGATTTTGGCGATAATCTTGAATTTGTAGCCACTCTTCGCCTAGCTAAGATCGCAGGACACATTTCTAGGTCTCTGTATGTGCGGACGCCCCAGCAGCGTGGTACATTTCTTCAGCAAGTAGCACAGATAAGAGAGGAGTTGGATCAGTGGAAAGAGCTACTACCGAGCCAGTTGAAGTCTCACTCGAGTGACAGTGGGAGACAACTACAATCTACCACTCTGCTACATCTTGCCTTCAATCAGGTAATCATCCTTCCTGTCTTTCCCCGCCGGTCATATCTACGGGTATATCCCGATGGGCATTCAACTGTATTGCTTATAGCCTTACTTGCATGCTAATTCGCAACAGCTCTTGATCGTAGCAACGCGGCCAGTTCTCCTATTTGTTTTTCGACATCACATAGATGAAAGATCTTCAACGGGAACAGAGCTTCCTATCCCAGACCAGACCCAATCCATTGTTGAGGCTTGCATTGGCGCAGCCAGGCAATCCTGCGATCTGCTGTCACAGTGCTGGGTAAATGGAGAGTTCCACATCTTTGATTACTTTCATGTTCAGCATCTTTTTTCGGCCGCCGTCATTCTCGCTATAGCAGGAGCATTAGGCCGAGAAACTTCTCAGGAGGAGATCGACGAGTTCAATCTGGCTGCCGGGTTTCTTCAACAGCTTGAGCAGAACGGGAACTATGCTGCGATGGAGTTCTATGCTCATGTTCAGGAGATTCAGTCTACTCTAAGAATGCTGCGATCAGCCGGTTCGCTACCCACCGGCCCAGAGAGTGTGATACTACAACACCCAATAAGTTCTGCACAATCCGTTCTGAGCGAAAAGCGATTGGCTGGCGGAAGCCTGTCAGACACTAGAAACGACCTCCAAATTACGGATGAAACGGCATTGGATCTATCATTTATTGACGATTGGATTTATGAAGATGCCCTTGAAAAGTTGTGCTGGTAGTATACGATTCTTTGAAGCGCATCTCGGAAAGAACCAGGCACATTTCATCGCGGTGATCCTCATGGTTGCGCTGGTGAAGCCAGAGTCAACTACGTTGATGATCTCGCCCTCGCTGTTGATCTGCTCCAGAAACATTGATATATACTTAAAACCTCTGTGTTCTGTTGTTTCTAGTTCCAGTTGCTATATCATACTCCTTCGTAGAACAACGTTCCTGGGCAACTATCATAGTCTTGATAGCTCCCCTATAGTAAGCTGTGCGCACACTACCTACCTAGACCATTGATCGCATGGGATGGGCTTGCCTACATAGACCTTCCTGCTCTCGAAGTTCCACCAGTCCACGTGGAAGACTTTTCTCCCGACACCAGAAGGTCTGCTTCCAATGCTCATATTCAAATGCCCTGAAAGTCTCGTAGCACGGCTCCATTTGTGCATAATATTAGCCATAATATAGATTCTCACGGACAATAATTGTAGAGTGGGCATGTCCTTGATGCAGGAGAAGGTCGAGCAGGGCGCTAATCTCGTAAATCTGATAGCAGAGAGAATGCAGGGTGGGGTTATATCCGGAGCTGTAGGATTATTTCGGCGGCAAAACCTCCGACTTTTTCCACCATTATCCCTGAATCTCCACTGAATCCATAGATAAGAAGAATTATACTTGAGGATTTATACACCTTCCCCTCTGATTAAAGCCGGGTTAGTCTGAAATAAGGCCCTAGGTCATAAACGTAGAAGTAGTTGCCATTATATGCTGATCCCTCCTGAGCCGCCGGGTAATAGGGAGATTAAATCGGAGATGGAAGGCGGGGTGATAGGACTCCCCTCTCCAAAATAACCGACAACTCGCTGTGATGCTAGATTACTGTAAAAGTGTCTCTATCCCTCTTTCGATTTCCGTCCCCTTTCACGACAAGAGTGTTTATGGTGACATGCTAACAATATGAAGCTTTCCTCTATACTCACCGCCATCCCATTCTTCGGTCTGGGCTTGGCCTCATCAGGAGGAGGAAGTGTCCTAGTCCCTCTTGAGCCCTACTTCAACAATAAAGCATTCGGCTCATGCCCAGGAGAGGCTTCTCTGGACGCATTGGGGCAGTCGTATCCGGCCGATCCAAGAGGCTCCGATGGCATTTTCACATCTACGACCAGCGGAGTAAAGTATCTCTTCCCCGGATACAACTCGGGCGCCAATGCCTCTGACAACGTCATCTGCACTGGACAAACAATCTCAGTCCCGCCTGCAGAGAATTACTTTTCGGCATCCGTGCTGCTCGTGTCCGATGTGCGGTCCACAACGGTATCGGGGAACCTTACATTTCTCTATGCAGACAACACGACGTCGACGGCAGAGGTGCGTGCCCACGCCTTCTGGTGGTTTCTTGCCATTCGCCGAGGTGAAATCAGCTACCCGTATTTCTTCACCCACAACGACACCAACCACAATGCCTCTCACATCTACGAGCGCTACGCTCCCATTGAGAGTGGCAAACAGCTGACGGGTATCCAACTTCCTCATACAACCAACTCTACCACAGGCCGCTTGCACGTCTTTGCCTTGTCCTTGTGGGAAGCGAGCGACTCCGGAGTCCAGGTACAAACTGTCCGGCCCACTCAGAATCTAGACCCTACCGGAAGGCAGATTGTAGAGGTTGTTATCAACCATGCCGGCGATCGCTGTGTGTCAAATCTCGAGGTTGCCCTTGAGGCGACGGGGGTCAAAACAGCTGAGCCAACAATTGTGAAGAGATTTTGCCCTGGGGACCAAAAAAGAGTCAACGTCGCTGTGGAAGGCACATATTCCGGCCCGGCAGACGTTTATATCAGCTGCCCGGATCACAAGCAAATCAAACACACGACACCTTCTCTGGATATCGGAATCTGTGATTGGACCCCGGACTCCAAGAGTCTCACTACTCATGAAGTGCCGCAGTGGTATGACGGAGCCAAGTTTGGCATCTTTATCCACTGGGGTCCCTACTCCGTTCCGAGTTGGGGAAACTCCACGCCATTCGAAAGTTACTCTGAGTGGTTCTGGTGGTACTCCACGCGCGTCAATGAGCATGCCGCAGCGGACAGATCTGGTTTCAACGCCTACCGCCTGAGGACCTTTGGCCCTGACCTTAACTATGACGACTTCTTTGAAAACTTCACCGCATCCGAATACAAGCCAAAAGAATGGGTTGATCTCATTGCTGACGCAGGTGCACAATATTTCGTCCTCACCACAAAGCACCATGATGGATTCAGCTTGTTCGACGCCGCGCCAACAACCAACCGCACTGCTCTCAATTTCGGACCGAAACGGGATCTTCTTGGCGAGTTGTTTGACGCTGCAAAGACCCATCAGCCTCACCTTCGACGGGGAACCTACTTTTCCCTTCCGGAATGGTTCAACCCCGACTGGGGGAAATACGGGTTCACGCAATTTGATCGTGTCACCTCAACCTCTCACCCTGGTATCATCGCACGAAACCCGTATACAGGCCTTGAGGAGCCGTACACAGGCCGCATCCCAGTAGACGATTTTATCGAAGACTTGATGGTTCCGCAGATGGAGGCTCTCGCGTACAAGTACGAGACTGACATTATGTGGTGCGACGCCGGGGCATCAAACGGCACTGACCAATTCGCCGCCCGCTGGTTCAACTGGGCACGGGGACAGGGCCGCCAAGTCACCATCAATGATCGCTGCGGCAGTCCATGGGCGTCCGACTTTGACACGCCAGAGTACGCGACGTTCAGCGTGGCCCAGAGGAGGAAATGGGAGAGTAACCAGGGAATGGACCCGTATAGCTATGGCTTCAATCGAGCGACGGCAGATGACGAGTATATGAATGCTACTACGTTGGTGCACAACTTGGTAGACATGGTAAGCAAGAATGGCAACTTTCTGCTCAACATTGGTCCACGGGCCGATGGCTCGATTCACCAAAGCATGGCGGGCAACCTCCGGGACGCCGGCACATGGATCCATGCCCACGGCGAGGCCATATTCAACACTACATATTGGTACATTGCACCAGAAGAGGGCAACCTGCGGTTCACTCAGTCAAATGATGCCTTTTATATCATGAGCATTGAGGAGCCGCCGGTCGGCCGTCTGGAAGTCTCCGCCAACGTCCCTATTGTCGAGGGGGATTCAGTTCTTGGTGTCACCTTGGATGGGGAGTTTGAGATCGAATGGGGCATTTCGGATAACGGGAAGCTGTGGCTTGGCGTGACTGACGAGGTGCTTGATGCTGACCGATATTGTTGGGTTTTCAAAATTGTTTATCAACAGTAAAAGCAAGAAAAGTATCATACCTTAGTCACCCAAATGCCAGATAAGGCAGCGTCTCACCCCCGGATCGAGGACGGAGACAATCATCAACGAGCGTGAGCATAGATAAGGAAACATATTAGATCTGTCCGCCATACTGGGCTACCAGAAAAACTCCATCCAATATAATTTGTCTCGCCTGATTTGGTACCGCGTGGCTACCGCACTCCGTCATACTATAATTGTCATTTCAGTGTAGCTCCAGTGCTGATGAGTGACGTCACGCCGCGGTGTCGCTTCTAGTACGTCACCACTACGTTTCCATGTTACCATCGACGATGTCCATTCCTAAGTATGGATTGACATTTGACATTTAATACCAAAGCGTGTCCCAAGTTGTTTCATACCCTTTCGAACACATTCATCTTAAAAAGAGAACAAGGTCTGCAACACAATGACGGAAATCGCAGCAGGGATGATTGCAGTCGAGCAGCTTGTTGCGACTGGCGTCGAGGCCGCAGCAGCAGCATCACTCGCTCGCCCAGGGCAGCTCACCAAGGCCTCGCTCAGCCAGATCGCCATTGAACCCTCCAACCAAACATCAGTGTAATACATTCACCACCGCTTTTTTTAGAACATACTAACGACAGACTCTAGGCCCAGTCTTGCTCGATCTCACCATACTCTTACCGTTATCAACGAGGCGGCCTTCATCTTTGGCGGCAAGGGATCGGGTGGCAAGTTATGCTCTACAGACGTCCATGAGGTTCTGCTTCCCATCAACGAGCCGCCCAAGACTCGTCATGAGTTGTACCAGCCTGTAGGAATCAGCCCTGTGGCACCACTCCCGGTCCCAAGATTCTCACATGCTGCCTGCGCCCGAGGGAATGAGCTGGTCATCCATGGAGGCAGAAACGAGGAGGGAGCTATCGCCGACGATGGCCACAACTTTTGGCTCTGGAACTCAGAGCTGGGCACTTGGTCGAGGACACAATCAGTCAATCAGCCACACGAGAGCCCACTCCCTCGATATGGCCACAGCATCTTTTTTGACAAGGACAAGGATCTTCTTATCCTCCACGGCGGAGAGGGCGTTGGCTTGGATGAGGATGTTGCAGAAACGTGGGTGTATAGCTTTGCTGAAGCCAAATGGACGCGTTTTCCCTCCTTGCCGGTCAAAGTCCTCGGCGCAACATGGCATGGAGGCACCCTTTACAGTGTCGGGAGCGAATCACACCGTATTGTCCACACCCTTCAAATCGACACATCGTCCCTGGACCCGAGCCAGGTCGGATGGACTACGCTGCAGACCGCCACTTCATCCGTTCCTGGCGGACAGAGTCGAGTAGGTGCCGCTCTCCTGCCTTTCAACACCACAATGGGCCGATGCTACCTGCTACAGCTATTCGGCATCAACAGAGGAGGTGCGGTAACTGAGCACGGAAGTGCCCACAAAGACATTCTGTCACTACAGGTTCCTTCTACGGCCCTGAGCGGATCAGGCATCAAAGATACTATCCGGGACGCGCTTCCTCAGACAGAATCTGGATCGCTCAGCTGGGCTGAGATTGAACCGAGTCCTACAGACCCACCATCTACACAGATCGAAGGTAAGGCGTATCCCGATGCTAGGAGTTTCTTTGGGGCGGCCGATTATGGCGATGGCAAGAGAGTCATTCTGTGGGGCGGCGTGGATGCCTATGGAGATCTGGTAGGCGATGGCTGGATCGTAAACCTTGAGTAGGGTTAGGCACTGCTGAACTTTGAGACGGACTGGTGGTGTTCTGTTTGACGAAGTTGCAAGGTTGTATTGATTGGAAGTTTTCCACCTACTTTACAAGGAACCCTCAGTATACACTGCCCAGTGGATATTATACCTGGAGGCTGTAGGGTTATTTATTCCTTCAATTCATCACTTCTTGCGTGGTCTCGTTTGTCAATAGCCATGTGTAAGTACACTGTTTAATCGTTAGGTACACGTTGCCAAATAGATGAACGGCCACATGTTCTCTGCCAGACATAAAATATATTCATCTCCGCCCAACAAACCGGGCATCGTTGCTTCCATATGCCAGAAGCAGAGAACACGCAAACCACCTCCCCGTGGAGACCTTCAAAAGGGGCCCCAGGAATCTACAAGCCAAGAAAATGCCAAGATATACTTTATTGACAAGCAACCACGGGGTCTATCCACGTGAATCTACCCCACGACGTAGGGGGGGTTGCTGCCGGCAATTCGGATCTATCTGGACGCTTTGTCCTAGGCATACCGAATCAAAAGATTAGAAATTGAATGTACTAAGGTGATAGTGCTGTATGAAGCTTGGATATTGATCATAGTGCCGCAATAGTGCCATGTCGGGACCAAGAGCTAGCATGGTGTGGTCTTTCAGCTCCGCCACTCGCATTTAGGCGTTGGATTATGTCTAGCCATGGATTGAATATATCACCCTAGGCGTGACCGACTCGGGTCTGGCCGAGTCTAGAGCGAGCGCGGCCCGGTCCGGTGACACGCCAGCTATTGGCAATAATGCCAGTCACCAAAAACGGCAAATGGGTGCAATTCGTGCATGCCAATACGTTCAATACAATTGATAAAGAAGTGTGCTGAGCGATGTGATAAATAGGCCCGTAGTTTCCCTTAATAAAAAAATCCAAGGCGATTTTGTCTTTGCATCACTTTCTCCCATCTTTGTTGATTCCATAACAATGGCGCAAGGCAGCGTTTCCTATCTCTCAGTGCCAGGATCTGCCCTTCCTGTGTATGAGGTCAATGATGGCCATGCGACAATGTTCTGGACCTCCCAGCGCGCGGACTACCAGGATCTCAAAAATAACTCGGCCCAGAATCCGCTGGTTCGAGTGATAGGGCTAGGCGACAATGTTTTCGACATTGGCTTCGACATCACTCTCCCACCAGACGCGCCTCCTACGAATCTAGAGTGTTTCATCTTGTCTGGTAATATTCAGCCGTTTGGTGGAACGGCAGGAGACGTATCTGTTTGCGCACAGATTAACAGTGTCTCCATCGATAGTCTCCGCACCTCGGTAACTATCTCATTGACAGGATGTACGGACTATCTTCCTTGGGGCCTTCGTGGAGAAATTAAATGGGCTATCACGAACTTCGACAGTACCTATCCTACATCATTTGGTATGCCTCTTGGGTCTACCTTTGTCGAGATATACTTTGTTTCCACGGCAAAATTACCCGACTTTCTCTTTCGAGGTCTTCCCATTGAATTCTTTCGAAGATTCTTCTTGCCTCTTCAAACCATGAACAAGGATCCGGATATTGGGGCTTTCAACGACCCTAGCATCGGCCGATATATCAGCGACGATGAGCAGGGTTGGAAGACCTATGTGATCGACAAGCTTCACTACCAGCCCAATATCCGATACAACTCTTTCGGCGGGGGAGAGGCGCAGTATTTCAACGGAGGAATCATGGGCAACTCATTATCTTTTGGCCAGTGGTGCAACAACCTGAGCGATGGTAAAACGCATGTCATTAATTGCTACGATCTGGCGGCACTGGTGCAGACTATTCTGCCTCTTGGGCTTCGAGACGCCAGCCGCTGCTTGTACATGAAGAGGATGGCTCCTTTCGGTTACATCAACACGACGTTGTTGATCGGGCGCGGCGAATGCAACAGCCCACTGGGCACGCCGTTCGTCACATCTCAGAATGATCCCAAGCGCACTGGCTTTGGATCGCATATCTTTATGACCATTGCAGACGCGAAGGTGACACAAGCCAATGGATCCTCGGAGCAAGTGCTTGACGCAACTTGCCGTCCCATGTTGGGCCCTCCGCATGCAGGACAAGAAACAATATCAGAATACTTTCAAAATTCTGTTGATGCAACAACGACGCTCTACAGCCCGACCAAAATTGAACTTGGAACCGTGGCTTCCCCTCCACGGACAAGTCCGTACAATTGGACAGGTGTCACTTCCCTTAAGACGCCTCCAGAGTTCTTCGCCATGGATAAGCTTCTTGCGCAGCCTGTGCCAAAAGAATCGGATATTTTGGACGGTGTCACCAATATCTTCGCCTCAAATTGGACCCTAGAGGCGCCCACTTTTAATCTGACGATCAAACAGTGCACTGCCACATGGCTATTGACAAACAAGACCACGCAAGAAGTGATGAATTTGACGATCACACGTTTTATGACTATTGACAATTCCCAGAAGCAGTATACCAAAAGGGTCGGGCGGTTCACAAATGACAATGGCATTGAGCTCTCAAGTGATTTGACAAACGCCCCTGCTGGACTCAAGCAACTATGGGCAGATGTTACCAACCACTCCTACGTCCTCGACCCTGTCGGTGCGCTTTTGTGGTCTCACTATAATTTCCTAATTGTCATGTCCAACGATAGCAACCCGCAAGGCCTTGTTCCGTATGCCAGCCAGATTGGAGCTTTGGTCGATCAAGCCCACAGTGCCGCTGTCAACTCCCAGCCACTCTCGATAAATGGGGGGAAAGCGGAGGATCTTCAATTCAGCTATTCAGTCGGGGATCAATTCGAGGTGACGGTGAACGGAGGGGTAAGAAAATCCAGAGCTTGTTGTATTGGCCGCCTCCATACTAACGTGCGTGATGAAAACCTGTAGGACTACGGTGTTATCGACCTTCAATTTACAGGAACGGTAGGCAATCCTAAGCTCCACACTTTCGAGTGTATCCTTGAGACTAATCCGCTCCTAATAGAGTGTTCTCTACATGTCATCGTCTAAGAATGACAACGTATTTACCTTCACGTTTTTGTGCCGCACTGCTACGCCGATCAATAAGTGGGATACCATTTCATTCTCAACGTTCGATACTTCTTTAGACAAGCCTAAGCCAAGGAATATTTACGTGGAAATCATGTAATAAGATATGATATGCATCAGATAGTGAAGCAGCGCGGGTAAACCCCAATGGTTTTTGTTCGGGTGACAAACACATATAGAGGAAAGAGGTTTGCCTTAATGGCCCCGTGTCCCTTCGGATAGTTGTTATTCCCCGATCATAGCAGGTTGTGTGTGACAAGACTACTTTGACAGGACTAATTCACATTTGAATCAGTCAACAGCGACTCCGCACTGGCGATGCCCGGGAATCAAGACTGTGGGGGACTCCGGGATCCCCTGAAAACACGGAGTCGATGAGGGATTAGCGCTACACAGCGCGTGAAAATTTGCCTTGTGCCTTATAAGCCCTAGTAAAGATATCTCCCGAGATTGAATAAGAGAGTCAGGAGCAATCGGCTTGATACATAAAGGGGTCAATCCATAAGGCAACACAAAATAAACACTTTGGTTCTGCCCTCGCCCATTGGCGCGGGCGCTAATAATGAGTCGCAGATCATAGCGCATCTTGTGATTCGTCACAAACGTCGACCACCCGCACGAGGCTTACCATAATACGAAAGAATCTTGAGTCTGGCGCTTATGAGGGCGTGCTCCCTTGATACTCAGGTTTGAGGTGCTTTAGCTGTGGTGCAGTAAACCTGGCTCGGGTATACACTCCTATAGAAAGGTAGTCCAGATAGCTGCATAAAATCGCTCAATATTACCAGCACATGGCTCACTCTCAACCTTGCACAGCTTGCTTGTGGCCAGTAAGTTGGTTCTCATCTCGCCCGTCTCACTCTATATAATCTCAATTAGTCAGTACAGTCGTCCCGCCATTCTTGTCTCATGTTGAGTTCGAGAAAGCACAGAATTGCACCCTGGGCCTGTGTGGTATAGGGTAGGATTCATTCATTTGACTGGCCCCACTCCGCACTAAATTTGTTGGATGTTTCACACGTCAGAACTTGCTTAGCTAAGCAAGAAAAGCCACTATGGCCCTGATACGTTTTAGCGTTCTTTGGTCTGATCCCTTGTGGTGGAACTGCTAGGATAACCTAGCTATAGAGAATACCTACGGTATATTTGTGATTTAATGTGAGTTAAAGTATCTTTGCCTGGCTAATTTTGTGTCTATCAACCGAGTCAAAATCCGATTAGAGACTCGCAACCCTACGAGTTTCAACGCTGTCTAAAGCATTGGTGGTAAAACACTGCACTAGACTCGTAGAAGCGAAGGGCGCTCAGAGACTAATCATGACAACCAGGAGCACACCGCTCCGTCCTAATCTGCAAAGCCCTCGTCCACGCAGTAACGAAGTGAAGTTTTGTATGAGTCTTCACTAGTGGCTGAATCATTCGATCAATAGCCCCAAGCTTATCTTCCCTGATTCTGAAATGATCCAGCCAATGTATTATGACTCCATGATCACCGAGTGATTTCTGCCGGAGATGAACAACCTCCAGATTTGCAGGAATAGACTGCTCCAGAGGTATAGGCTCTGCCGCAAAGCCTGCAAGGCATACTAACGGTATGGAAAGATATTTGAGTTTGTCGAAATCGACAAGACCTCTCATGCTTCCCATAAATTCCATTTCTATCGTTGATCCATCACGCTCTTCATCTCCAATTTCCATAGAAAACATGAATTTCTCAAGCGTGTCTTTAACAAATGATAAGACGTCGACCAGGTAGTCGAAGTCCAACATGGGATATTCAAGTTCTTCATTAGGACTTTGATGATACATCCATGTGTAATCAAGTGACTTCAGGTTTGGCGTAATCGATAAGATGCTTATTAAATGTTCCTCAATCAGCCAGTCTATCGACAGATCAGTTAGGTGATCAAGATTAGGTTGCTCTCTTGGCCACGCAAAGATATCAGGATTTGACATCGAGACATAAATATCCGTTACTGTTGGTAGATAAAACAGAGATGCTGCGTATAGGAAAATCTCGTTCGTCTGCGGAATATTATGATCCATTCTCTTAGTATACCACACCTCTTTAAGCCGCTCAAATGCAGGCAGCTGTCCAAATACTTTAGACAGGAGAACTTTGCCAAGAATATCATCGCCGTTAATATAGTTATGATCAATATGAAAGCATCTGATTTTGGAAACACCGGTAATGAGAAGACCAGCGAATGCATCCATACCGCCTGCTTTCAATCTGTCGATCCAGAGATTGGTATAAGACACTTGAGTCTTATAAATAGCGTTAATAAAGAGGTCGAGGTTGGGTGAAAGGCCTGTAGTATCCAACGATGGTCGCTCTGGATTATCATACATGCGACTTCCGCTCAAATGGACTTCATTAATGTAGGTAAATAGCTCTGGTCTTTGTAAAAGAGTGCGAAGAAGAGAGATAATCGGGGGGTTTTGTAATCTTGGAACATTTGGGTTATCGCTCCATTCGATGTTAATGGTAGAATAGAGGAAGAGTTGGGCGGTCTGGTGAAGGGATTTATTGGCGAGGCATAGGCTCGGAAGGTCGGCTCTTGGAATGAAGCTCAAGATGTTGTCTATGACCTCAGCCGGGGCATCAGAGAGCTGCGCCATATTGTTGAACGTGTTGAATTGGTTTTTGATCCCAATAGAGAAGAGGGAGCGTAGATATCAAGGGGAAAAGAGGAACGAGAGTGAATAAATTTTCTCGTAAAAATAAAGTAAGATCTAGTGTTTGTGGGAAAAGAGGGGTGAGGATTCAAGCATTGCAGATGACGGTTATTATGAGTCACTGAGCCTGTAATATGCGCAAAAAAGCCCAGGCGATTCCATTTGATAACTGCTGCCAAGGTACCTGACTAATACAAATAATTGGCCACTCTGAGAGGAATGGAATGAATAAGTACCCGTCATGAACAGTGCTCCCACCCAATTGAAGCTCGAGGTAGGCTACTAAATGTGCTCCTAGAAAATTCGAATCAATAGTGCAAGGAGAAGTTATTATATACGGAGTCACTATTCATTGTGTTGAGATGTGGGTCTGGCATCTTCTATTGTTATTTCTACTTTTATACTCTAACTCTCTTCCATATATAAGGAGTCACTACTGATGCCGAGACTCTGTTTTTATACTGTCGTCCCACATAGTGTTGATCCCAGGACTGCTTGGGGCCTGCTGCGCACGTGGCAAACCAGCCTTGCGTGAACAGCCCCCGCCTCGAGGTAGTCGAGGGAATTTCGCTTGGGAAAGAATTCGAACGAGTTCTCAGCCGCGACACGCACTCGGAATTCCGGGGTCATGGACGCTGGGATTGTCTAGTCTTATGGAGACGTCGCCCCGCTTGTGTAACCCTGAGCTGTTCGTTGTTCTCGCTGACTGGGAACATAAAGTGTTGTGTTATCTCTTATTTTCAGAGCTTGAAACCTCCTACGTCCTTTTGTAGAATCCTTGCAGAGTCATATTTCTCGCTAGTTAATTTCAAGAAGCCAAGCTTATCTTTACCATACGAGTGCAGGGGCCTTTGATGCGGAGCAGCGTAATTGAGATATTGGAAATCTTGTAAAAGCCCTTTTGACTCCGCGTCGGCCTCCCATGCCGACAAAACTGATCGAGCTTTAGCTTCGACCTCAGAGTTGGCAGTCGAATTTGGCCACAGAGCGGAGATCAGGACAACTGGTGCGGGGTTAGAGCATTCTTGACGATTGTCTTTATGGAATATATACGTACTAAAGCCAGGACAAGCACGCTCTAGACCAAGTATATCTCTATCACCGGAATCTGGCAGCATAGCCGCTACCAAAGGTTCGAGAGCGATGCTCCAAGTCACGCCACCTTCTGGATTGAAAGAGTAGATTGTACTGTTCAAAGTATCGAACATCTTCTGCATATTTTCGGCAGATGGCTTCAGAGTTGTCGTGGCAAAAAGCCAATTACTGTATCTGTAAGAGTCTGTCCCTAGTTGGAAGAACTAAAACTTACAAGGAAAATGTATCTTTCTCATCTGCATACTCCGCCAAGGATATTATATTGTTGACCAGGGACTCGTGTGGAATTGCAAAGAGCTCGTCATAAAACGCGGGCTGGGTCACTGGCTCAGTATAGACTGCAGAGGAACTCAGCCTCCATGTTTTGGTTGCCGAAAGATAGAGAAGACTGGTAATTAGTGACGCCAATGGATCGTAGTTAGACGACTCAATTAGCTTGGTAAATGCTTCAAAGACTTCAGCGCTCTGAGATATGCTGTACGTGATGGTCGTTGTGGATATATTGCCTTGCGGAAACGTCGCAAGATCGAATCGTGTGACGACACCGAGGTTGTTGCCTCCTCCTTTTAACGCGAGGAACATGTCTGGGTGGTTAGTCTTATCTGCGTTGATGATCGTTCCGTTGGCTAGTACAACTTCATAGTTGACCACGTTGTCGCAACCCCAGCCAACTTTGGTCGTGAAATGCGATATTCCTCCGCCTAGCAACAGTCCACCAACGCCGACGTTACCGTTCCTCCCACCTGCCACCTGCACTCCGGAGCCATCGAGGTGCTGGTAGACGTCGAGCCATTTTGCGCCAGCGCCGACACTTGCCATGGATGAGTCCTGGCTGAGGGACACGGAAGACAAGGCCGTCAAGTCAATCGCAACCCCCCCGTTCACGTTAGCAAACCCTGCTGCCGGAGCGTGACCTCTTCCCTTGATGGCAAACTCGCATTCGACGCTGTCGCTGAGGATTTCCAAGGCCTTGGAAACCTCTAGAACGGTGGCAGGTCGGAGCACACAGGCCGGTCGCAGTGTCGACTCTTGGATCGACCAAAAGCTAGACACTGTGGCATTGTATGTTGTATCATCGGGGAAACTGAGGCTATCGCCTAGTTGTTGTTGAAGCTGGTTGCACTTTTGTTTCCAGTCAGCTTTCCATCACTGTTGACTATAAATTTCGAAATATCCTACGCATGTCGACGCGAGAACGCTCGCAGCTTGTAGTATTACCACCACGAGAGCAGAAAACAATCTCATGATGCCGGTGAAAGTACTTGATCCTGTGCGTACAGACGGAAGTAACAGGCTTCTTAAATCCCCGCGTTGCAATCGGGCCGACAGACCCCAACTTGATCCTTTACACGGATCAAACGGCCTCATATTGCACTAGACCGGCTCTTCGGCACCGCTCAGAAGGTTGCAACATATCAGGATTCTACACAGGTTTTGCGATCTATGCTATCGCTTGTTCGTTATTTCGAGGCGTCCCCCCAAAAATTGTGCATAGCCAATGTGTACAGATCGACATTGGCCAGTCAGCTTCTGGCTATCATTAAAGGCATATTTTACCGCAAAGAGCTGACTGAAATGAGGAGTTTATAACATGTGAAGTAAAATCTTGGATGAGTTAGCATTAAGAGCAACGGTTCTAAAGTAATCTATGTATATGCCAAAGTATAGCTGCTCATCTTCAAATTCACCAATTATGGCAATCCTTCCTCCGACGTCGTGTATGTTCATTTGTACGATCACCCTTGTCTCTTTCTGGTGAACAAAAACGATTCGACCATCATATCTGTTAATTGGCTAATTACCCTTGCTTTGTGTTACCGTTCTTGATTGCACACTTTGCCAATTCAAGCAAGATGTGAGATGTACGTACCATGAGTCGCGTCCAGCATAATTAGACCATCAGCCTACCTGCCGGGTTAAGCATGTCGCGTCTCAAATAAACCAGTGGCGTGAACCTTTCGACATGGACTTTTAATCCCCGGATAAGGCAATATCAGGAATCAGTGGGCTGTCATTGGCCATTTGTTGGAAAGTTGTCAGGCCAGGGTGCATCAGATGAGTCAAGTCAGACGGTCGACGCGTAGTGAGCGCGTTTCTGTGAGCACACAATGACCAATATTCAGGGTTCTAGGGTCTTGGCCGTGTTTTGTCTCCCAGGTCGGTCATCGGGATCGAGAGCGGCGTGAGTCGTTTGGTTTGAGCAACGACCCCTGCGAGTCGTTGAATAAAAGCCCAGGCCGGGGACAAAACAATTCCACCTCGATCTTCCTTGGATTTCAGTAAATCGAATGGTGTCGAGAAATTAACCCTTGAGCTTCTACCTACTTTCTGTGGAATTTTGCGTGAGAACACTTTGATAATGCCTTCCAACATTATTCTCGTCGATGAGTATCTCGCCAAAGGAACATGGAAGACGGCCGAAAACGCAAACTCGACCTACTCGCATCAAGGTTTAATGCAATATGTTTCCAACCAAATTATCTCACAGTACTGGCTAGAGAAAGTATACACAGATGAGATCCGGCAGTATGATGGCGAGAATCGTTTTCATATCCATGACCTTGGATTCTTGAGCGCCTACTGCTCCGGCTGGAGCCTTGAGGATATTCTTTTCCAGGGCTTTGGCGGCGTCGAGAACAAGATCCAGTGTCGGCCTGCCAATCATCTCAACACCGCTCTTAATCAAGTTGTCAATTTTCTCTTCACCCTGCAAGGTGAGCTTGCCGGTGCTCAGGCCCTGTCCAGCTTTGATACGTACTTGGCACCCTTCATCCGGAGTGATGGTCTGTCCTACTCCGAAGTTTTCAAATATGTGCAAAGCTTTGTCTATTCTCTGAATGTCCCGACACGAAGCGGATTTCAGGCTCCATTCACAAATCTGTCGCTGGATCTCATCTGTCCGAAGCGACTGGGTGATCAGGCAGTCATCATTGGTGGGAACCTTCATCCGGAATGGATTTACAGTGATTTTCAAGAAGAGATGGATATACTGAACAAGGCGTTTGCGGAGGTGATGATGCAGGGCGACGGCAACGGCAATATCTTCTCCTTTCCCATCCCGACTTACAATATCTCTGATGGAATTGACTGGGAGTCGTCTCGTTGGAAGTCCATTTGGGAGATGACTGCCAAGTACGGCGTCCCATATTTTGCCAATTTTGTCAACAGCGATCTCGATCCTGAAGACTTTCGCTCCATGTGTTGCCGCCTGCGGCTCGATCTGAGCAAGCTTCATTGCCGAGTCGGCGGTCAGTATGGAGCAAGTCCGCTGACTGGTTCGATTGGGGTGGTCACGATCAATCTCCCCAATCTTGCTTATCGTTCAAATGGGTCAAAAGATACCTTCATGTCTGAGCTCTCAGAGACGTTGAGAGTCGCCAAGGATTCGTTGGAGATCAAACGAAAGCTTGTAGAAACAAATTCGGCTCTATATCCTTATGCTGCACATTATCTTTCAGCAACTAAACAGCGGACCGGATCGCACTGGACAAACCATTTTAGCACAATCGGAGTAAATGGGATGAACGAGGCCCTGATTGCACTATTTGGCAAGGGCATTGACAAAGAGAAGGACTTTGCTCTCCAAATGTTAGAGTTCATCAAAGACCAATTGCAAGAGTTCCAAGGAGAAACAGGCAATCTCTACAACCTAGAAGCCAGTCCAGCAGAAAGCACGTGTTACAAGTTCGCCAAGCGGGACAAGGAGCTGTTTCCAAACCGTGAGATACCTACATTCTACACTAATTCGACCATGCTCCCCGTCGGAGCGACCGAGGATATCTTTGAGGCCATGGCCCATCAGGAAGACCTCCAGTGCTCATATACGGGAGGTACTGTCTTTCATACTTTTCTGGGAGAGCAACTGTCAAGCTGGAAGCTGGCTCGTGATTTAGTCAAATCTCTGACAAGCCGTTTCCGTCTCCCTTACATTACCCTGACACCTACATTTAGTATCTGCCCGACACATGGATATCGGACAGGCGAGCAACCACAATGCTCGGACTGTGGTGAGCCTGCCCTAGTGTACTCCCGCATCGTTGGCTATTTCCGGCCTACTCGGGATTGGAACAGGGGCAAGGCGACAGAGTTTGCAGAACGAAAGACGTACAATTACAAAACAGGCCTGCAGCGCTTGGAGACTGACAAGGTTGACGGTGAACATGAAGAATTGGAGCGCCAGGTAGCCGGTATCACTGACCTTCCCTTGGCGGGATATATCAAGAGCACTCTTAGTGACTATCCCGGCAAATTGCAGGCCTCGATTCTATTCACATCACGTTGCAACCTAGCCTGTCCTTGGTGCCACAACGGCCCACTGGTTGAAGGAGAGCGCGAGGATGTGACGATTCTCGACGCGTTCCGCCACATCACTTCCACCTCTCACAAATCACTGGTTATTTCCGGTGGCGAACCAACAATCCACAAAGGGCTGCTTCCATTCTTGCGAATCCTCAAACAAGCTGGAGTCAGTGTCAAGTTAGACTCCAATGGAACCTCACCTGCTGTGCTGAAGCAAGTATTTGACGAGAATCTTGTTAATTTTGTGGCGATGGACATCAAATGCGCTTTGGAGAATTACAAAAAGGTCACCGGTCGCAAGGTCAAGCCAAAAGTCCTCGAGGCCAGCATCGAACTCATCAAGAATAGCGGAGTGCCATACGAGTTCCGTACGACGGTGGTGCCATCTCTAGTGGACGTGGAAGACCTTTTCGAGGCGAAGCGATTGTCGGGCCAGAAATTGACCATGCAGCGCTTTCGGAATGGCGAGACGGTCTTGAACAAGGAGTTTCGGAATCTCCAGGAACACACAGATGTAGAATTTGAAGCATTGGTCGCTCAAGTGGCATAGAGGAGATGTCCATGATTAAAGTAATTTATTCTTATGTGGGTTGTATGTTTATTGATGCCAATTTAGAATATATATACGGTTATCTTCCTAGTAGTGATTTAAACACCATCAGAGCGACTTTATCTAGTTTAATGATGATCCGGAGCAAGATATCGGAGGCGTAGGGCTACAGACGAAGCCCAAAGTCCCGCAACTGTCCAAAATACAGTTATGTATAAAGGTTTCTTGGCACGTCCAACCAGGGGAATCATTGTGACCATGTTTTACTCGTTGAAAAAGATTGATGATATCAGACCGCCCTTTCCTGTCTCGGTTATGCCCATTGGTCAAAAGAGCTTGCATTTCCAGAAGTCGGAAATCAAGGGTCTCATGCGACGGCACCGTCGGTTAAACAACATCAAATTTCCTTAGCCCAAGGGGACTGGAAGTATCCGGCACTAACTAATATGGCACTGGATAGAAGATAGGTAGGCTTTGAAAAGCCTCTTCGGGCTGATTAATCCTCCAGGCCTCGTAAGCCGATGCGCCCGTTGATGTGCGATCACAAGTAGCCGCTCGCGTCGGACCACGCAGACAACAAATGCGACCGGCCCACCGAATAGACTCGATCATCATCCGGTGCTCCGTAAATTCCAATCGCGTCTCGCTCTACTATTCTGGATTAGGGGTCAATGGGCCCGGCCAGTCGCTATCTGCCATTGATAGCTCAACATTGGGCCTCATCTGAGCGTCATAGATATGTCCCCGGGAGCGAGGGAGAACCGCTGCTCGGACAATTGCATATGCCGAATTGCGCGAGAATCTTGTGGGTCGCTCTTCAATCACAGTCGCTGAAAGCAATTGTAATGCGTCATTCTCGCCAACTAGGCGGCCGCTAGCTGTTTGATAGATACGTACTCGAGCTATATCCATACATCCATACCAATGTAGGAATGGATACATATGGGATAGATACGGTACTAAACTTTCATGTGTCCCTCCTCTATCCCGAGATTCGTGTTTGTTGTGGAACGAATGTCATCTCCTGCCATCTTCGACTACTTGATATCTGACTAGGTGCTCATCTGTCTTGAAACGGGACACTTTCCCTCAAAGCACCATGGAGGATATTCCAACCCCCAAAGATACAGATGTCCCTGGAGGCTTCCCAGAGACACCGAGTCTCGCCTCGGAGCCGAGCACTCCTGGTTTAGCACACTATCAAGAATCCGAGGGTGCAATAACACCAACGCAGGAGCATTTCCCACCGTCTGTAGCAGCTGCTCCCTCCGCCATTCCAGGGCGGCAAGTCTCACCAAACCACACCCCGTTGCAGCATCGTACTACCGGCGAATACATCACCGCGGCTTGGGCTTCCGGAAACCAACCTAGTCGTACCAATGAGCCCGCCAACCAG